TACCATGATGGGTATATATCGTAATTAAAAGGGTTTCCTCAATATAGTAAGTTAAATTAAGTTCTAACAGCAACCGGGTTAACCCCTAACCAAATTTCATCCCTCACAGATCCTACGCATACACGCCCTGAACCTTAACCCCTCAACCCTGAACCCTAAACCCCTGACTGAGAACCTTAGCCCCTAGAACAGCTTACAAACCCTAACCCTCAACCCCAAACCCTAAACCCCTACCTTTGAACCGTAGCCCTTAGAACAGGTACCAGTGCATCTTGGCGGAGACATCTCACCATCCCGTGCTTCACTTCGCAAAGGTGCTGGGCTGATAGAAGGTTTGAGGGTATAGGTTAGGAGGACCCACACCCTGTAATAGTGGTATACCAGGAATATAGCACAACCCGAATATGATCCTTAGTATCCCCTATAATCACTGTTTCTGGGTGGGGGGTCTGCCTAGGGTTTAGGGTCTACCAAGGCTTTTGAGTAGGGTTCTTAGCTTAGGGGAGCCGACTACTTTAAGGTTTAGGGTTTAGAGTGTAGGGTTTAGGATCTAAGGATCATCAGGACCCCATCGCTGACCCTCATACAACAGCCACATCAAGGATCCCTGAGGATGTCTGTTTTTAAAGAGGACGTGCAGAACATGTTTGGGCTACTTGGAGAGTTAGAGGGACTTGGTAAGTAGGTTTGCTCCATCATCAACATAGTAACCCTTGTTCTCCCCATTTGCTCTATAAACCTGCTTACGAAGTCCCCCTAGACCCAGGGCTCGGGGTACCAGAAGTTTAGCATGGGCTTGCATGGAGGCTTAATGTCAACCCCAGAAGCCATCTGGAACCCTAAAATCCTTGGGATTGGGTGCTGTAAACCATAAACGCCAAACCCCTAAACCCCAGGGCCCAAAAAAGCCAGAGCCACTTCCGTTTAAACTAGACTAAAGGTTCAGGGTTTAGGGTTGCCAGGGTAGCGACATTGGTAGTTAACAGGGTTGAGAGCTTGGAGCTTCAGGTCTTCAATTTGGGGTATGGGTTTCTGGTCTCAAGGTTACGAATTGAAACTCAAGGTTTGAGGTTTAGGTAACATCAAGGTTTTGCGGGTTTAGGAAATATCTGCTGCTTCAGCGGAACTGTATGGACTCAGGGTTCAGCGGTGCGAGATTCAAGGGCCTAGTCCTTGACATCCATTTGTTGCAGCGTGTTTCTTGTTGAGTTCATCTTTGCAGGTTTTAATTCTCCACAGTTTGCCCCGAGCTCCAACAGGGGCTCTCGCCAGCCGTAAAAAAGCTTGAGATTAAAGAGATGTGCCGCATGGCCCAAATTCAAAGAAATCAAATGCGTTGTTCTCAGAATCATTGGCCCCTTTGGGTTTTCGGGTATTTTACGGCCCCTAATATCTAGGGATACCAAAATGGGACCTTAACTTCGGCAACTACGCATGTGCAACACTGCGTTTGGATTGTTGGCTCCATGTGATGTGCAGGTTTAGAGGTTGGGGTTCTGGGTTTCGGGGTTTAGGGGTTCAGGGTTTAGGGGCTTAGGGTTAAGGAGTTTAGGGGTTTTGGGGTTCAGGCTTTGGGGCTCTAGGGGTTTAGGAGTTTAGGGGTTCAGGGCTCAGGGGTTTAGGGTTTGGGGGTTTAAGGGTTCAGGGCTTAGGGGTTTAGGGTTAAGGGGTCTAGGGTTTAGGGGTTCAGGGCTTTGGGGTTCAGGGGTTTAGGGTTTAGGGGTTTTGGGGTTTTGGGGTCTAGAGGTTCAGGGTTTACTAGAGTTGTGTTCGTCAAGGCCTTGCCTAGACGGTCCATGATGTGTAGCCATTCTCTTGTATTGTAGTTGTAGTTGGAATGACACGTGCGGTGTTACGTATAAAGAAAGACCCCGAGGTACGGTTTCCTAGGTTATACAAGTGACTAAGTACCTTAACCCTGAACCCTGAGCCCCAAAGCCTAATTATGCTTTGCCCTAAACCTATGGATTCAAGTAGAGCCTCTCGACCAGGGGATAGTGCAAAAGGAAAACTCACAAGCCCAAAGCCCTAGGTTTCTCTACAAACCAGCCCCTGTATGCAGTGTCTGCCCAGAGCTTCTTCTGAGATGTCCGTGGTATTTGATAACTAACACGTGGAACCGTGCACTAAAGACCATGAACCCAAACCCCGAAGCCCTAAAAACCCCCAAACCTGCAAACCCTCAAGACTGAACCCAATGAATCCTAGACGCTGAACCCTATAGCCTGCAAATCCTTGCACAATCCTTTAAAAGACGGTTTTAGCAGGGAATTTTTCAGATGCCACAGGCTCCGGTCGAGTGGGTGGCAATGAGGGCTGACTTCTCTTTGCAGCTGGAGCTAGCGGTAGGCCAGAGGGTTGCAGAAGGATTCCAATGGGGACCCCATAATGGGAATACAAGGATCCTGGTAAGTATATTCCTACTACGTATATTCTTGGGGTTCCCTGTTTGTGGTCGCCATTTCAATCCTTCGGGTTAGCTCCAGGAGTCTGGCTTTGTAAAAATCTCTAAGGGGGTATGTCGGGAAATGTACGGGTTTTCAAAATCAATGGATCCCTTTGTGGAAGTTCCACTCATAAGGATTACAGCAGATTGGCGTCTACATTGGGGTTCCCTTATTTACAGAAACTACCATGCAGGGTGTAGGGTTTAGGTTTTGGATTATAGGCCTGGTTGTATAGGGCTTGGGGGTGTCGGGATTTAGGGATGACGGTTTGGGGGTTTTGAGTATAGCCATTGGGGGTGTACTTAGGGTGTAGGGCTTGGGGATTGGGCTTCGGTGTTGTAGGATGTTTAGCGATTAGGATTTGGGGTGTAGGGTCCAGGGTTTGGGCTTGGGACTTCAGCTTCAGGGGGTGTACGGCTCAAGGTCTACGGACAAAACAAGCATGGAATCCCATACCGCGCTCTTTAATGAATCGGTTGCTCATTGTCTTGCAGTGCGTGTTGGCTGGGGAGGATTTGAAATCTCAACCCTAAGCCGTGAACCCTAAACCCTCTTGGGCTCAGGGTTACGGGTCTAAGCGTTTTTCTGTTAAGAAAGGTTAGCGCGCAAGGACTAGGTCTGAAACAAGGTTTGAAGGCATGCGACCCTTAACCCTAAACCTCCGCGAGGTTTAGGGTTTAGGGTTTAGGCCAGGAGAGACAGGAAAATTGCAGGTTTAGGGTTCAGGGTCTAAGGTTCTAAGCCGCCATAAGCACAAACCCTGAACCTAAACCGGGCAAAAAGTTGAGGGGTTTTGGAAGGCAGATTCGGGTTTTAGGGTTTTCAGATTTTAGGGTTAGGGTTCAGATTTTTGGGGCTCTGAGATGTACAGGGCTTTGGACTTGAAGGTGTAGGGCTTGCAGGGCTTGCAGGCTTTTTGATGTAAGGCTAGAGCTTTGATGGGGGCTTAGATGTAGCTTGATGAGACTGAAATGCTTTCGGTGTAGGGTTTTAGGGTTTAGGGGTTTCAGGAGTTGTTGGATTTGACTTTCCTGGCGAGCTAACCCGTTCACCGATTCACCAGCCCAAAGTCTAACACCCTCTAAGTCTGCAACTCCAGGAAAGCGCCCCGCCAAACCCCAAAACCCACACCCTAAACCCAAAACCCTAAACCTCAAACACTAAACCCAAAACCCTAAAGCCTAAATCCTAAATCCGAAACCCTGAATCCTAAACCCTAAACCCTACATGGTACTTTTTCAAAGCAGGGGCATCCTTCATGACCCCAGAATTTTCCGAGGGATCATGGGAATCCAGTATCATCTACCTGGACCCTGGATGTCCTTCTTTTTTGGTGGTCATGTCCCATACATTTGTATGGTATACACCAAAAAAGGTAGGACATCCAGGGTCCAGGTAGGGGATAGGGTTTCGGGTCTAGGGCTCAGCGTTTAGGGTTCCATGTCAGCAGTTGTTTCTTAGTCCTGCCTCGGCTTAAAACAGTCAACAGGGAAGGCACGCAGTCCCCATTTCCAGACTTCTACGTATAGCGATCGCTGTTTTACTGTTTCTGGGCCCCCAGGCCCTAAACCCCAAACCCTAGGCCTTCGCCTACCTAGACTACACTTGAAGGCTCTGCAGGCCGAGTAAGCACGTGCAATTCCGTTCCGCTGTTGGCCAACACTTGCAAACATCGTAAGGCTGCTATTGCCCGTCCATAAAACCCTAAACCCACTAAGCCCTCAAACCTCAATTAAACCGCCGAAGCCTACTATTGTCTAGTTTGTCGGGTTTGACTTTAGGGTTTGTGTAGAGTTTCAGGGTTTGTAGGGTTTAGGTTTCGGGGCCTTTGAAGTTTGATGTACTGCGAACCTGCAAGCAACAGCTGGAATTGACTGTTTGGCAGTGTTGTTTGCCTGGAGCCTCCAATGTTTCTATAGGGATCATAGTAACTTCCTTTGGATTTACTGCAAACCTCCAATAGTTTTCTTTTTGTGGTAAGCAAATATTCAAAATGCACCCTAAGCACTGAACCCTAGCTGCAGATAAAGATCTGCACTGTTTTGAGGCCCGAATACTTCATTTTTTAAGGGGCATAGGACCCCATACCTATGACTTCCGGAAGTGGACACCTTGCTATAATTCGGGCGACTGTTTTCCTTGACCTGGTTGTTGCTGGAAGGCAATCAGAGGCTGCAAAGTGACAGCGGGGAATTGCGACTCTGCCACAAGTTATCCTAGATTGCAACCGCAAGAGCATGGGGTTTAGGGCTTAGGGTTCAGGGCTTAGGGTTTAGGGTTTAGGGTACTTGAGGTGTTAAATACGAAAGAAGGCCTCAAAGGTTTCTGCCGTCTCAGCCCTTCATATTTGGCTCATGAGATGTCTTATGGGTTGGTCGAAAATTGTCCTTCGACATTCGGCTTCTTTTGTGGCTTGGGGCGGCCCGGCCCCCTAGATGTAAACCGTAAACCGCACACTGAAAGCGCGCGTTGAAACCGTACGTTGGGTTTGGGGCCTAGGGTCGAGGCTTCATGAGTGAGACGTACAGTCATGAAGAGTCTTGTGTTTGGTGGGGAGAGCCGGAAATTTCCTGAACTCGTAATGATGGGCCCTAGGGTGTGGTTTGGTTTTGTGGGCAGGGGTTGCAGCTCAAGAATGCCTTGAAAACACAACTCCCAGATGTCCCCTCACCTGGACGCCAAGCCTAGAGACTCCCAATCCTCAAGCCGCCACATGCTTCAAGTATATCTAGATTCGAGTAGTTATGCGAGCGCAATACTTGTCGGTGTACAGTATGATTGTATCCAAAATTGCCGGCATTGTATTTCATCGCGGAATTAGATCTTACTTTTGTCCACCACTAACACAAGACTTCCGGCATTGGAGTCGAAAAAACCCCAAGTCGTGGATTCAAATCCCAAATTGCGAGCCCTAGCCATCCTAGTGCAGTTTTGGGTGAAATGATGAGCTCAGAAGCCTCGAATAATTACCAATATTATCGTTGGAATTAGTGTACTGGACCCCAAAGCGGTGTTCCAGTTTTGTCTTTTGAAGCCAGAAGGATTCATTCTTCGTCCTACCTAATTCTAAACACCCGCTCCGCTGGAGTACATGGACCCTGCCTAGACGCCTAAACCCTCGAGAACCTGTACCTCAAACCCTCAATCCCCCAAGCCTTTATACTTCTGCATCTCGAAGCGGATGCTCTACATAAAGCTCCGTTGTATCTAGTGATCAGGAATATATTTTGATATACGTATACTTAGAACCCAATGGTAGCTCTACGGGGGGGGGGGGGGCTT